AGGTGCTGGTAGTGTCCTGGATAAAAAATACATGTTCAGTTCCATGCATGACAGATGATATAGCAGGATATCTGATTATTAGTTTTCTCATACAATTCTAACTTTTGGTGCAGGATGAACACAAGGGAAAGATCATGCTCAATCATGAATCATAAATCTCACTGTTGGAGGCATTTGCAAGGACTGCTTGCCCTTTCACCTCTTCCTGAATGGCAGGGTAACTGCATGTTCCAAGGGCCCACAGTTAGCAGGCATTGTGTTGTTTTAGCAACATGACATCAAGCTGATGTATGTTAGACCACAAGCATGAAAATGGTCTGCACCTGTTGGAGCATCAGTGTTTAAATAGGACTTGATGGTTGTGGTCTTGTGCAATGTCCCATGGGATAGTGTTTCCAGGCCTGTCAGTTAGGGCTGCAGGAGCTTTGATCCTTGTTAACGCAAGGATTTACAACATTCATAGTGGGCTGCTGGAAAAATCTCATGCTGTGATGATATGAAAAAATGCATGAGAAAGAACAGCCTCTCAGTGCAAACACCTTTGGTTACATCTTCTCTCCTTTCATTTCCTTCCCATCACCTGAGCAAAAAGCAAACAGAACAAGCAGCAAGGACCACAAAAGCAATTGCAGTGCAGAGAAGCTGCTTATAGTTCTAGCTCAGCTGACTAGTTCAGTTCTTCCTACCCATGCATTCAAGCTGAAGGAGAAGCTAATGCAGAAGAGATGTTTTCCATATCCTCAGATTTTTGACAGTTGCATGTGCTAAAAATCCTGTGAGAGAGAAGAGGCCATAACCTGAAACCAGCAAGAAGTGCCTAATTTTGAGGCTGTGAGAGGACTGAGTTTTTCCCCAGAACCTTGTATCACTTTGGAGTGGGCACCAGGACAGGTCATGTCTGTTGGGGTGCTTTCTCCACTCCCCTTTGAACTTGTGGGTTTGTTTTTAAGTCCTCGTAGTAAGCTCTGCTTGGAGAATTTAATCTGCTCCTACTCATAGATGCCTTTCCTCTGTAGAGTTCCTTAATTATGTGGGAGCACACTAAATATGAATACAAACTAACTCCCACTGTCTGTGCTACTAGCAAAGTCGCATCTGGCATATGGACGCAGCCTTGAAGTGTTCTGCTCTGAATTGCTGGCTATGTTTCCCAGTAAATGTTCAGGGAAGAGTTAACGGTTTTCTGCCAGCATTTGACTAAATCATTTAGCACAAAGCACATGTGATATCTTTAATCTTATCTCTTAAGAGTGCTGTAACATCTAGTGAGCTGCTGTTGCCTGCACACAGTGTACTCTTCTGGCTGAAGTTCTTGTTAGTACCAGCTGAGCTTTCTGTAATTTGGGAACAATCTGTGCTTCCTGTAGGTCAAACTGGTATGTGTGCCACAGAGGTGCTTATGTACTGGAAGATTTGACCTGCTGGGACAGCTGGTGGCTGCCTGGCACCTCTTAGTTTCTGGGATTTTCCAGTTAACCTTGAGGAAGGATGCATGGAATGCTGTCATAAATAGATGTGCAAACAACTCTAAACTGGTACCATAAGCCTTTAGACAAAACTTGTTTTCATGCTGATGAAAGAAGATGTCAGCAGTCTCTGCCACAGTTACGTTGGAACACACGAGTAAGAGGCATTGAGAAAATTTTGGGTTCAGGTTGATGTGAGGCAATTAAGACAAGGATGTTCTTCATGAATGGTTGAGTTTGAAAGTAAACTGTGTAGAAAGTGAGTTAATAGCATGTAGAGGATCTCACAGCTGCCCAGGATGTGGGGAAGTGTGTGGTTTTTCTTCCTAAGGATCATATTTCTTTAATTCTGCAAGTACAAAGCCCTTCCTTTATTAGTTTAAGCAAATTGGTACCAAGTGGTTAAAAGGAAAAAGCAGAGGCGTGTTTATATGAGAGAAGATATGAAATTCATCAGAAGCATAAAGCTGTTACTCTCAGTGTCTACATCATGTTCTGGAGTAGAGACTGGTGTCTGCCTAAATGGAGAAGCCCTTGTTCGTGATTCTAGGGTTGTGATGGAGTCCAGCAGCATCAGGTGATTGGGAAGGCACTGAGCTGGCTGTGCCTCAGGCTAGAACAGTTAATTCCAACTGGAGGGGAGAGCTGACTCCATACTGGGCATCACTCTGCTTGTCTCCTTTGTTGGGACAGTTGTAGGGCTGACAGTCAAAGATGTAGAAGACAGGAAGAACTTCATGTATTCTTAGTTAGACAAACTTTTGATATGCTCTTGTCTTTGAGACAACTAAAATGGTGTAAATACTTGCTTGTGTTTCTCCTCAAGGCACAGAGGAGATTTTGGTTTGTTGACGGGTTAGGCCCAGGTTAAAGAACTGGAAAAGGAACAAGATATAATGCTGCCAGGAGACAGGGCTGAGAGCAGAAAGCTGAAGAAGAGCATCACAGCTGAGTGTGAAATTTGTGCTGCGTCATGGTTTGCCCTTACACACTCTTTTCATTAAAGACCAAATTTTTGACTTGCCCTTTGCTAGTTGGCAGTCTTGTGATTAAAGGAGCTGTTTGGCTTGAGGGTAAGACTTAAAATCCCAGGACAGATGAAGCCTTTAATAACGAGCTTGATCTCACTGTGGGAAGGCTAGTGCCTAACTCTTCACACACAATATCAACAGAAGAGTGTACACTTTCTAAACAGTGGGATGGTTTACTAATGTCATTTGTTTTAGCCTAAAGCAACAGCCCTCAGTGTTACTTGTGAAGGATCTGCTGCTGTTATCAAAGGTTGGATCCTCTTCATTGATGCATGAAGCTACCTATCCCTGTATGTGTGCTAACTGATACTGTTCCTGATGCCAACTAACAGGTCTGCAGTCAGTCTGTCCCTGTCAAATGCAGGCACAGCAGGTTGCTAGCCTGATTAGTGCACAATATGACTAAAGCCAAGATCTGTGCCTGTGTGCAGCCACCCTAGAAGCCACTCATGATTTGCCCTTGCACACTAGCTCTGCTGTGTTCTTCACTGCAGTTGGCCAGGAACAGGGTCCCTAGATCCCAGGCTGTTTCTGGCATGTGATTGGAATTATGCCAAGACCTTGTTTATACTCAGAGATGGAGTGTAAACCAATTTTGAAGGGTGGGTCTTGAAAAAAGAAATGCCTAAAAGGAGAATAAAGTGCTTTACTACCTATGACTTCAACAACCTCTTGCTTGTTTAACAGCAGAGCATGCTCAGCAATTGTCAGAGTTAACCTCAGCAGGCTCCTGCATGAATCAGGGCTTTAAAGACCTGCTGGCTCAACACACATTGTCTTGTGATACAGATCAGAGCAACCCAACATACTCCACTAAGGGGAAAAAAATGTTTTCTTACTTCATTCCAGAGCTGAGGCTTATGCTTTTGTCCAATTCAGACCAACCCATTAAACTAATTACAGCAGTGATAAAAATAAAGTCACTGTCTGAAAGATCAACTCATATCAAGCATGCAGCTTGAAGGGGAGTTTTGACCAAAGTAAATCTTTAGCTGATATGCTATTTTTCCATGTGTGCTAGTTACATAAATACATATGATCACTTACATTAACTGCAACACCATATGGCTTCTAAGAGACTTTCTTCACCATTCAGCACATCTCTTTTGCAAAACCTGGCAATTGGAAACACATGTTAATTGGTCGTACCAGTTAGCAGTCAAGAAATCCAGTTAATTGCACTCTTATATTCAATAATATTCTCTCCACTAGAAACTTGTAAATGTTCCTTACCTAATACTTTGTGCAGGCTTTCTGGTGAACACAATCTTAATACTAACTTTAAGGGGTGTGTTTGTGTGTGAGTGTCAGTTGGAAAGAGTGGCACAAACACCAAATTTAGGTCTGGTTAAGTGCTTGTGGCCTTTAACTTTGGGCCTCAGCAACAGAAAATTTCTGTTATGTTAGCCTTCTACCAGGACTCTGCAGCACGTCCTTCTTTCATAGAAAATAATAATAATAATATAACATGTTTATACTAAAATAAATGAAGAAGAATGGGAGTTCTTTTATGATTCATAGACAGATCTTATCGAGTATTTTCAGATTAATATCAAATTCCTCCTCATCTCAAGCCAGATTGTATCTAGTAAAGATGCCGAAGTAAAGTAGAGATAAGAGCTTTATAATGGCTGTGTTCCTTGAAGCTGTCTCTTTCTTTTCTGTGCACTTTATTTTTTTCCATATCTTCTTTCTGGTTTCCTTCTCACCCCTATTTGGACCATATCTGGATAATATTCTCTTTCAGTCCCATCTAGCCTTTTGCTCTGTGGTTTGCTGCAGATACACTCCAAGCTCAAATCTTCCCTTTTCCATATTATCAGTCTCTTCAAGCATTCCTTTATTTTTTGCTTCTCTGGACCTAAGTGCATTTCCACTGCTCTTAAAATATTAAAGCAGAGTCCTTTTAGATATAAGTTAGCTAAAAGTACTGTATATTAATTTCATTGACTGTGTTCTATAAAAAGCTGTTGTAAACATAGCATTTTCCAAAGGAAGCATAAGTAAGCTAAGAAATTCAGATCTGTCAGACAGGACTATAAATATCCACCAATATTAGACATACTCAGGAAGTTGTAAATACATGTATTTACCATATGGGTGACTTAATTTTGTGATTTACCAGAGATAGGCTTTGTGCAGGTTTTCTGGTGAACATGATCTTGATACTAACTGAAGGGATGCGTTTCTGTGTCAGTTAGAGTAAGTGGCACAAACAGCATCTTGGCTTCCTGCAACTGGAGAGAAAAGAGACATGATGTTCAACTTGCCCATGGCATTGCAGCAGGATTTCCTCTTCCCTCCAGCATGTTTCCTACTATTTTTTTCAATAATCTTTTACTGCCAGTTAAGGCTCATTCCTCTGGGAGATTTTCTGTAACTAGTTAAGCTCAGTGACATTTATTTTTATTTTTTAACTTTAGTGATGTTGAATTCTTCTTTTCTTACCATTCCATTGTTGTTTAATCTCTCCACCTGACCATCTGTTCTGATTATTGTTTAGTATTTACAGTTGTACTACATCAGGAGGATTTGAGGATTTGGCCACAAGAAAAAACACCTCTGTAGTCAAGAGGAGTTCCAACCCACAACTGGTGGGTGCTCATCTGAAGGAGCAGCTAACCAGAATTAGACCCACACAGCATCTCCACTGCATCTCACCAACAAGCTGGTTTGGCTGGATGGCTGCTGAGCGGTGCTGGTATCCACCTGGCTGAAGAACTTGCATGGCAGACAGGCAGACTTGCATGAGCTGTAATTTGAAGTAGATAATTTTGTGTTGCAAAATAGGTGAGAATGGTACAAGTTCTGCTGGGCTCAGCCCTATGGCATGGCAGTATATGTTTCTGTATATTCCTGTAAAAGGGCTTGAAGGAAATTCTCTGCCCTTTAATGATGAATGAAATATTTCCTTCTTCCAATTCTCTATTAACTCACAAATGCGTAAGTGACCTTTGAACTTTGTTACATGTTCCTAAAATGTGGACTGTGTTTCTAGCCATTGCCAATTCTTGTCACTGGAATTGCAGCATCTTAGTAGCCTTTCAGAGAATGATGTGAGAAGAACAATGCTATCTTCTGACACTTTATCACAGAGTCAGTATCACAAAGGATATGTTCTTTTCCAGGCTAGCTCTTTTTTCTCATGAAACAAACCTTTGTTCTGTTACTGAGTGGTATTGCTGCTTAGGTCCAGAGTCTCCTCCCTCTGACTAGAGAACATCTCCAGAAGTGAGTAAGGGTTAACTGAAAATGGCGGTTAGAACAGGGAGTTTGAATATAGGAAAAAAAGGCAAACATAAGTTAGATGTAAACTTCTTTTGAACATTAGTGGAGGTGACATTTACTCAAAATGATTGGACACTGCATAGAATCACTCAATGAGGTATGGATTTTGGATGTGGGCCACAAATAGCCTGGAGAAATCTGGACTCAAGTCCTGGTTAAAGACTTCAGCTTAGAATTAATATCTTAAAAACTTGCATGGAAAAGCTTTGCCCTAGTCAGACTAGCCTGCAGCATACTGGGAGTACATTTTGTTTCTTTCCATGCCGTATTTATCTCCTGAGCAAGGGAAATAATATCTTTATCAATCAGTGCTCACAATGATCATCGCAGTTCTAGAAAGCTGCCAGCTGAGGTGACTTTAGAGTCCCGTGCTTTGCAGAAATCAACACATAGAGATGCTCGCTTCATTTACTGAGTTTTAATGGAGCTATTTTGGAACCTGGAGCTCCTGCTCATCAGCCACATACTTCTGGGCAAAATCATTCTCTCACCAGATTGTTTTCAATTAAGCAGTTCTGGCTCTAATGGATTGTGGGCAATGTAGAGTAATTCTGGTTTGAATGAACCAACACCCAACTGAGTGACTGACTGCTACATTTCTGATTGCACAAGCAGCCTGCGTGTAGGCTAGAGAGATGTTCCTTCTTTCTCTTGTTCTCAAGCTTTTTGCCTGAACCCTCTCTATCTGCTTGGAAAAGATGATTTGAAGTGGCTACGATCTCCCTGGATGCCACAGCTGGATTACAGCCTTGTTTCCCTAGGCTCTCTTTAGTGGTGTCCAGCAGCAATGGGTACAAACTGGAGCACAGGAGGCTCCCTCTGAGCACCAGGAGGCACTTCTGTGCTGTGTGGGTGATGGAGGACCAGCACAGGTTGCCCACAGAGGATGTGGAGTCTCCTCCTTGGAGATCTTCAAAAGCTGCCTGAACGTGGGCCTGGCAAGCAGCCCTGGGTGGCCCTGCTTGAGCAGGGATTGGACCAGACAGCCTTCAGAGGTCCCTTACAATGGCAGCCATTCTGTGATTCTGTGCTAAGGGGAGACTGCAGTGGGTGTATGTGGGGGAAGACATCTTAAAATCCAAATTGACTGCTGTAGCTGCTGACCTATCCTTCATGTAGGCAGCAAGGAAGGTTACAAAGTGGTCACTACACAGCTGCAGGAAAGCGCTCTCACCCTCCATTGGACCATTCCTATAGATCCGGAAAAAGAAAGCCTATGCACTGCTGCTCCAGTCAAGATCAACATGTAGTTTTCCCTTCCAGAGGGAGAGTTGTGTCTGAGAGCTGCCACCAGTCTCTCACCAGCCTTTGGTTTTGTTGACATTATGCAAATGGTTTAGGGCAGTCCTCATATGTCCCACTAAGGTCTAGTTTCACCAGGGTTTGGGACCCTTCTTGTACAAAAAGTTGCCTCTTCCAACTCTTCACTGCAACTTTCTGAATGAGAGCTTTTGAGTCCCTATGGGTTAGGATCAGTGGGAAGGCCAACAAGGCAAGCATCCTGGTGGGGGTCTGTTATAGACCGCTGAACCAGGATGAGGAGATGGATGAGGAATTCTACAGACAGCCGGCAGAAGTTGCAAAATCATCAGTGTTTGTTCTCGTGGGGGACTTCAACTTCCCAGATGTATCCTGGAAGCACAGCACAGCCCAGAGAAAGCAGTCTAGGAGGTTTCTGGAGAGCGTGGAAGATAGCTTCCTGACGCAGCTGGTTAGTGAGCCTACCTGGGGAGGTCATAGAATCATAGAATCATAGAATATCCCGAGTTGGAAGGGACCCATGAGGATCATCAAGTCCAACTCCTGGCACCACACAGGTCTGCCCAAAAGTTTAGACCACGTGACTAAGAGCACAGTCCAATCACTTCTTAAATTCAGACAGGCTTGGTGCAGTGATTACATCCCTAGGGAGCCTGTTCCAGTGTGCAACCGCCCTCTCGGTGAAGAACCTCTTCCTGATGTCCAGCCTAAACTTCCCCTGCCTCAGCTTAACACTGTTCCCACAGGTCCTATCACTGGTGTTTTCAGAGGATAGGTCACCGGCCAATCCACTCCCCCTCGTGAGGAAGTTGTAGACCATGATGAGGTCCCCCCTCAGCCTCCTTTTCTCCAGGCTGAGCAGGCCCAATGCCCTCAGCCACTCCTCTTACATCTTCCCCTCTAGGCCCTTCACCATGTTTGTCACCCTCCTCTGGACACTCTCCAACAGTTTAATGTCCTTTTTGTACTGTGGTGCCCAGAACTGCACACAGTACTCGAGGTGAGGCCACACCAGCACAGAGCAGAGTGGGACAATCACCTCCCTCGACCAACTAGCGATGCCGTGCTTGATGCACCCCAGGATACGGTTGGCCCTCCTGGCTGCCAGGGCACACTGCTGGCTCATATTCAACTTGCTGTCAACCACAACACCCAGATCCCTCTCTGCGGGATCCCCCTCTCCAGATCCCTCTCTCCAGGAGTTGGACTTGACGATCCTTATGGGTCCCTTCCAACTTGGGATATGCTATGATTCTGTGATTCTGTTGGTGGATAGTCGGCTGAATATGAGCCATCAGTGTGCTCAGGTGGCCAAGAAGGCCAACGGCATCCTGGCTTGTATAAGAAGCAGTGTGGCTAGCAGGGCTAGGGAAGTGATTGTCCCCCTGTACTCGGCTCTGGTGAGGCCGCACCTCGAGTACTGTGTTCAGTTTTGGGCCCCTCGCTACAAGAAGGACATGGAGGTGCTCAAGTGAGTCCAGAGAAGGGCGACGAAGCTGGTGAGAGGTCTGGAGAACAAGTCTTATGAGGAGCGGCTGAGGAAGCTGGGTTTGTTCAGCCTGCAGAAGAGGAGGCTCAGGGGCGATCTTATCACACTCTACAGGTACCTTTAAGGAGGCTGTAGTGAGATGGGGGTTGGTCTGTTCTCCCACGTGCCTGGTGACAGGATGAGGGTGAATGGGCTAAAGTTGTGCCAGGGGTGTTTTAGGTTGGATATTAGGAAGAACTTCATTACATAGAGGGTTGTTAGGCATTGGAACAGGCTGCCCAGGGAAGTGGTGGAGTCACCATCCCTGGAGGTCTTTAAAAGACGTTTAGATGTAGAGCTTAGTGATATGGTTTAGTGGAGAACTGATTAGTGTTAGGTCAGAGGTTGGACTAGATGATCTTGAGGTCTCTTCCAACCTAGACAATTCTATGATTCTGTGATTAGCCTGGGAACGATGGAGAAGATTTTGGGATGCCTGTTGGTACTGAAGGCAATCTCTTGGCAAAACTACACACTTGAGATTTTTGACCGGTTTTGCTATTTATTTTTGTAGCCCTTTGCTTATAAACCCCCTTTTCCTCTACACAAAAGCAGAAGCTTCTGAAGGAAAAGGAAAGTTACAATCATTTCCTGTCAGAAATCTTCTAAGATTACCCAAAAGAGCTTAATCACAAACCATGTTGTGGCTATGAGTCTCTTAAAGGAAAGCTCTGTATCTTTTACACTTCTAATATGATTAAAATTCCTGTCTTCAGCTGCTGTTTCTGCTCTTGCTGCTCTTTCTGCTCTTGTTTTGCTCTGTGGTTATGAGAGATCACTCAATCAAATTTTAAGGAAAGGCAAATTAATGAAACAGCCCACATGTGTTGATGATGAGGAAATAGGAAATAGTAGGGTGCCTTGTCTGATGGGCAGGGCAGTGGGGCAGTTAGTTGCATGTGTATTATGGTACTGCAATACACCACATAGTCATTGCCCTATTTGTAGCATAAACATATACATAACACTTCAGAAAGCAGATGAGCCAAATTTTCTATTAAAAAAAAAAAAAGGCCCAAAGTGCTACAGTTTGCTTCACTGCAGTCCTGTGCCCACACCTTCCCTTCATGCAGCCCTGTCACCCTGTTTCTGAGAATATGCCGCTCCCAGTTCTTCCAGGTGTCACTTACAATGCTGAATCCCTACAAGTTTTGTGCATTGAGCAGCTTGGCTTCTCTCTGAGGTAGTTTGATATTTCAGGTCATTTGGGTTATCGGAAGTATCGGCCATAGCGCTTTTGCTTTCAGTGCTCAGTTCTTTGAGTTCGTGCTGTGCATTTCCAGGGAAGGATCTAGCCATCCAGCTGCACATCCTCCAGCACTTCTGGCTCTATCTACTGAGAAAATATGTGAAATTATTTCCAGGGTTTTGCAGTGTAGCTCTCCCTCATAGACCTGACACTTCCTGGTCAGGAGGGATGGGGACAGGAAGGGGGTTCCTGAGACCTCTCATTTATCTGTCATGATGACAGTTTCTTAAAACAGAAGTAGAATTACTATAACACATTTACAAGCCTGCTAACAGCAAAACAGAAACTGAAATTACACATGCAGTTCTGCTAATGAGAGCTTTGAGTTTTTGTTGTTGTTGTTGTTGTTTTGTTTGTTTGTTTTGGTTTTTTGGTTTTAAAATTCAAGGGCCATTTGACAGGAACAAAATCCACTGACTCATAAAGTCTTTGTTTATTTAGAGTCTCTAATGTGAAGTAACTGAAAACAGCAACAACAACAAAGAAAAAAAAACACTCTTTCTGAGTTTTCTTAACCATGCCATTAACATATCACTTGAATCACTAGATAAAAACTCGATGTTGATCTAAACCAATGTTACAAGTAAACAGTGAAATGTTAGAAAAAGGCAGCTACTTTACTGGAAACTTTTAATCCAAGAGCTATTTCTGCTGCAGAAGCTCCAAGCAGCTGCTGCACAGTAAGGGCATGATTATCTGAAAGGCCATACCTTGGGGTAAAAGGAAGGCCATTGATTTTCATTTTGAAGAGTTACTGAAAACCAGGAGGAGAGGGAATGAGGGATTGTTAAGTTCCAGGTAAAGTAAAACAGAAATAATGACGACTGCAAGTGGATGGGCAGCCAAAATGTCTAGGTGCCTTTAAAGCTGCATAATTCTGTACCAGCAAACTTCAGGGAAACAGGCAGGTTTGTTTTCCAGGAAGAGATAATAATGTAGAAACCTCTTTCTTGTGGCTTTCTTTAATCACATGGAGGGATGGTGTTAAAAGCCAAGCGCACACAGAGAGAGACGCTCACTTTGAACTACAAAAGCACAGCATATCCTAGTCTCAGTTCACTAAGCGGGTGCTTTACTGAAAGAGTCATCTCTTGTGTTGGGCTGTCCTCCTGTATCTCTTTAAAAACAGCTATTTAGTGGCCTTTGCTGTTACAGTATTATCAGCGTGCAGAAAGGGTGTCACTAGAACATGCTTGTGCGACTTTGTCTGTTTCTCTTCAAGCATTTTTGAGTGTATCTGACAATAGCTGTGCAAATCCAGTTAACGTTTTTCACTAGCTGAGCATTTACCCAGAGCTGTGCCTGGGAACATTCTGATGATGTATGGTTGTATCCTATTTCATTTCAGATTTGTAGATCACTGCTTCCTCCTCATACAGATTGAGCTGCCAATTTTTGCATGTATATGGGCTCACATAAATCCCTGTCTTATATCCTTTTGGTGTGTCCTAGGAGAGCTGAGGTGTTGGCTGCTAGATCTGGAGTGCCTTTAGAAAACACAGACATGTGAAGTCCGGCTACAAGCAGAAACACAGAGATGGATATACAATGAACTGTTTGCAGCCACTTTTGTCCCCCTTTCATTAAATCTATGTTATCTTCACCCAGGAGGAATAACCATGGTGCAGCAGACGGGCATCCAGTCTCAGCCCACACCTCCCTGCTGCTTCCCTGCCAGAGGAAGAAGATCCCCTGGTGAGATGTTCATCGCTGCCCTGGGACTCCTATTCTGACACTCCAACCTCTGGTACGATCTAAATGCTGAGAAAGGTAAAATTCTAGAGAAGTTTTAAAAAAGAAAGATGGAAGGATTTAATAGCTCCTGTACAAGAAAATAAGAGCATGCTGGCCAAAAGCCTGCTCTTCTTTTCAGGGAATTACCAACAGGCAGATTACAATGATCACCTTCTAAATTGTAGTATCCAACCACATTTTCTGTGAAGATAATTTTGGATTCCAGTAAGTAAAAAAAAAAAAAAAAAAAAGTTACTGTTGGTTGTTCCCCCCACTTCCCTCCTCGTCCCTTTTTTCCAGGAACTCAGTACTGTCTTATATGCCTGTACATTTGTGTCATCCAGCGTACATTTGGAATCATCCAAACAAAGCCGTGTGGCAATCCCTGTATGTGCCTGCAGTTGGCCATAAGGCTTCACTTCTTTGCAGGCTCAGAAAAGGCTCTGCTGTTTTTTTCCTGCTCTGAGATCCCAATCTCCACAAATCAGTGAAAACTTTCCCTCCATTCCCATCCATTTGGATGGGATCCTCGGGCTCTTACTCAGCTGCAGGCTTTCCCCAGAGGAGACCTTAGTTTCTTGAAAGCTAACATCTGACAGCCCTACCCATGAAAGCACAAATTCAGTCTGACCCAATGCAGAAGGCTATTGAATTCATATTCATAGACATAACTAGGTAAATAAAATGGGCTGTTTTTCTCCAACCAATTACTTTCTGTGCAAAAGGGATTTCCTATGTTTTAGCAAAAAACTCAAATGCTTCTGAGATCTCTTTTGAATTCAGTTTTGCAGTCACTGTCAACTTCCTGCTGCAACTTCTATGGGGCTTTTGCCTAAAAAAGACTGGGGAAATCTGAGGCCTTGATTCTGAATTGCTTACTAATGCAATTCACTATAAATCTGTAATGTTCTTGGATTAGTCACTGGCATGTTTTCTTTCTCTCCATCTTTTATTTTACTCCATAGATATTCAGTATTAATTACAGATTTATTTTTTTTTTCCAATGAAATCTAAATTTAGTATTTAAATTTAACTTATGTTTCCTGGACAATTAATGGAGAGAAAGTTTTGCATTCATCTCTTCCTTTGGCAGGCTTTTCATTGTGAGTAAGGCCATTCCCTTTTTGTGGCAGAATTCGCAAAGCTCTGTATGTGTTTGCTTGTGGATCCTACCTGCCACATTACTAATAGACTCTGAATGATTTCTCTCAGCTATTGGGTATACACCATCAGTTCTACATTTCATTTCCAGTTTGATCCTGCCAAACTCAACAGTACGCTCCTATGACAGCTGTTCAGTGGCTCGGGTCTAGATTGGGAAGTTTGTCTTTTACTGATGTTCTGCAGGACTGATTTGCTAGATCTGGTAAACAAATAGGAGCTGATACCTGCTGTAAGCTCTCATTGTACTTTAATACACAAAGGTGTCTCTTATATTCAGTACTATGGAGGTTAACACAAATAACAGAACAAAGAGTTGTCATAAAATCTTGAAAAATTACAGTCTATCCCAGCCAAATATTCCTGCCATAGGTTAGCACTGTTTCTGACATTTATTGGATCTTTCTTTTAGCCATTTTAGCTCCCTAATGTGACATGGTTTGACTTTTTTTTTTCTTTTTTCTAAGTTAGCAAGTAGTCTTGACTCTGGAAGGGTTTAAGAGACAGTACAAAGGATGAGGTGGGATTCTATAGCCCAGGCACAGCGATGGATAAAAAGAACAGCCAAGATTGTGTGGGGGAGTTACTGGATTGTGTCAGCTGTCTGTGACACCATACCCTCAAGTTGTTTAGAAAACACCCTGCCTATATTGTTTCTATTGCACAAAGTAAACAGCTGTCAGCCTTCTTGTTACTGGCTCACAAGAAAGAGCTAAAATTGTTGAGAAAAATCTGCCTTCAGGAATGCAAAATATAGACTGGGACAAGTTTTACGTACCAAGCTTGCCCAGTGTCCTAAGAGGGGGTACGTTTTTATTTAGAGCAGCTCAAAGAAGGGTTATACTGCCCAATCTGTTGGGGGACAAGCCATTTGGACTAAGTCCTTCAGGCTGCCTTCAATACCTCATGCGGGGATTACATACACAGTATGGGTCAGTCTGCTTTTTCAGTGAGTCTGCTTTTACCTGCTCATCAACTTCGGTTTGGAGAATCACAATATGTGTGTTACACAAATGTAGTGAAGGCACTTCAGTGTTCGTGTAGCTCCAGGAGGGAGGTGGAAGGAACTTCTAGTATTGGTGGGAAGAGGAGCATGATCTGTCATGTATGAATGGTGAAAGCAATTGCTTTATAGCTCCTTTTGATTAAATGAGATTCTTTCTCACTCCACATGAGTAATGTATCTGCCATACCTCAAAGAGTCAACTCACTGTTTTAAGGGAAGTCATGGAAATTCTGCATAGCAATATCATAATAAGTGAACGTACACCACCCTCCCAATGCCAAATTTGCTGTTATTATTTTCAAACAACTCCACTGATCTCTGGTTTTGTTCCCACTTACCTGAGTCTATTCCCCTTACCTCACCAGATGTGGAAAGACTCATTAGCCTATTTTGTGTCTGCATGTGCAGACCACACCACATCCACCTCCTCTCATTCGCTTTCTCCCACTTGCTGGCAGTGATACAAGCTCTCAGGACTCCTGCTCTCAGAAGTTATATCTCTGACAGGTAGATTCAAGCTTGCCAGCCAGTAGGTGGGTGGCTGCCTTTAGACCATTAACGAGACAAAATGACTAGTAGCCAGAGCAAGCTGCATCAGAGCCAGCCCGTCCTGTGTTGCAAAACTTCCCACAGGTGCCTATAGAGACACAGGGGGAGAAAACCTTCCTAGCTCTGTCCTCTGCTTTCATCTGGCTCAAGCAGGTCCAAACTTGCTCCCTATCCCTCTGCAAGGACAGGGCACATTTCACAACTTGTGTTAACAACCATTTTGGAAATCCCACACAAGAAGACATAGATAGGTAAATGCTACGATATTTTCCTTATAGACTTCTCCTCAGAAGTGGTAGGGAAATCCCCAGTCATTGCAGGTGAGGGCACAGCCCTTCCAGTTCTAGATTCTCCGGCTTTTGGAGCACGAGAACTTGGATAGCTGCCCTCCTCTCTGTCCTTTCTCTGCCTTGCTCACTTGCAGCAAGGCAGAGAAAGCACTAGTGCAGCACTTTTGCAAGGCGTCTGAAGCCTGCAGAGTTGTTTTAAACGGGATTCCCATCCCACAGATTGTGTGCAAGTGCAAATAAACTCCTTAAGCGTCACTGGGGTGGAAAAGAAGAGTGAATGGTTTTGTGATGTGATTTCTCTCTGTTGCCTCTGTAGAAAGCTCTCTGCAAAGCCTGGGTTGTTTATGCAAAGCAACCAAACCCCTTTCCATAGGAACTGGTAGCTAAATATTGGTCAAAGTCCAGCTATTAGGTTTATAGAGCACTAGTGGAATACAATATACAAGCATTTTTCTTATTTCTTCTCCCTGCATCAATAAGAGTGAGCAGCGGACTTCATGGAACAACATGTCCTCCAGGTGTGCCCAGTTCTGGCGTTGGTGGAGGGTCTTCACCCAAGGCTTCTGTGTGCTTGCTGAAAAACAGAGGCTGCTGGAAAACAGGCTGTAAGGAGCACGTATCCATCATCCAGAGCTCGGTGCAGGTCTGGTTATTTCATTACACAGTCATCCATAGCTAGGTATAAGGCCACAGGGCAGAAGTAAGTCTGCACTGAGCAGCATAAATATATGGTATCTTTCTGTGAGGGATGAACAGTCAAGAATTTCATAGAGGAGGCCTTATCCTCAACATTCAGTAGGTCTTACATGTGATTACATGTCAGAGCAGTTGACCGAATGACCGTATCTAAGCCTGAAGTCCCTTGTGTATTAGGAAAGTCATATATGAAATGGAGAATCAAAGGATTTCATTTATGTAGGAGCCTTCTGTGAAACAGAGGAACAGAAGAAGGGAAGGAAAAGCCCTCAGTAAAACTAACAAAAGCCTGTACAAACAATACAATTCCCAAGCAAATCATCTTTCCAAGAAAATTGATAATCAGATGTGAAAATCCTGAATCAGATATGGCCATGGTGTTCAGCTATATCTTTTGGGATTTTTCTACATAAAGCAAAGGAAAGAGCAAAATCCTCACCTCATAAAACCTCACTGTTATTCGTGTTGTGAGGAAGAAAAAAAAAAGCAGAATGGAGCTGTTAAATATTTGAGCACTGGCAAGCTGAGGAAATTCAAGAGCAAGCAAATTCAAATTTATCTTTGATGAGGTGCCAATTAACCTGATGTGCAGCATGATTCTCCTAAATTAGGTCAAATACTTTCTGATAGATGTAAACCCAAGTGCCGATGAGGAAGCACTTCTGACTTTCTTGTATTCTAACACCTGAACTTCCTGCCAACCACCAACATCCTGTTTCTGTTACTGTCAGAGCCACTCATACATTTTACAGTCAGATCTGATTAGTGCAGGCCAGGTGGCATTATTTGATGGGCCATTGTATGGTGAGTAAGCTTTTCTACTGAAATCAAGGCTTTTGACTAGCCATAGGTGGGAGAACTTGTGTTGTATCAGCCTGATACATGCACAGTCTAGACCTGCCTTTGCTGCCACTATGATCAATAGCAAAAATACCCCAACTCCAGTAAAAAATCACAAAAGTGTATGTTTCTTGAAAAAAAGTCTCCTTTTCATGCCTTTGCTCCTGACTGCCTTAGGTATATGGATGGCCTCACCCTTTCACAGCCTTCCACAATCAAACATCAAAGTCCCGAGGAAGTTGCTGTATTTGCCAAGATTTTTTATTTTTTTTCCTCCCCAGTAGTCTAGTGGTGAGAGCACTTGCTTCCAGCCAGATATAGTGCTGGGAGGGGAAGAGGTTCAAGTCCTTGTTGCCTCACTCTGAGGCTTTCTGGTGGAGGGGAAGGGGCTTTGCTCTGTGGAGGAGAGGTGGGATCTGTGCAAAAGGCTGGTCTGAGCAGGGGAGGTCTGCAACCCTCTGCCTAGATCACTCCCCAGGCTAGAGAAATCCTGCAGTTTAGTCATTGCTCCAGAATTATTGTTGGATTTTAGTCATTCACAGTTTCTTTTCCTTCTATTTTCCTTCTCCTTTCCTTTTCTTTCTCCTGTGTGAACCTAACTCTCCAGAGGCTGGATTCCTTTTCCTAGACTTGCTTCTATCAGCTTCATTTCCTAAAGTGGATGAAGCAGAGATCACAGACTGCAGTATTCCCAAAGCAGGGCTAGCATGTGCACGTCTCAGCTCCAACTTGGTTATATGGAAATACATCGTTCTTTTAAACCTATAGAAAAAATAAGATTAGACCAGATGTGGAATGTTGACTAGGTCATCCTCCTCAAAACTCTTAATATTGAATCGTCCAGAGCAGAAAACATGAACTGATTTGTAAAGTAAAAACTGAGTTCAGTGAAAAGCTCATTGCTCCCCTGCCACCCTCATTAATAATATTAGCAAATATTGTTTGATGATACTCTTTTCCCCTTCTCAGCCTTTAATTTCCTGGAGAATTGTACCTGAAGGGGGAATTTAAAGGATTGTGACTGTGAGATATGTTCTTTAACTGCAGTGGTTCCGGTGTGAAGGTGTGGTTGTTTTACAGCAAAATGTGCCATTTGTTGAACACCCTGTGTGGAGCAGGCGACTGGCTGCTTAGATTTGTGGCCGTTATGTCTCTTTAAAATGACATTAATAGCAAACAGCATTACCACGTGCAATTTAGCTGTTTAGGAGTTACCAAGAGAAGATAGTATTTATGCCAGCTTTTTCATGACAGGTCAATTATTTTGTTAGCACAGGCAACAGTGTATTTGTATTGTGCAACTCTTCCTAGGAACTGAACTGCACTGGAGGACAGGAAATCATGGGAAGTAGGATGGACTTGAATTAAAAGGAATGGATTTGTTTTTCTTGCTTTTGAATGCCAGTGCCTGTTGAGCTGCAACGACATACTGTACAATCTGTGTTTCTCATTATGCAACTAAGGAAAAGTAAAACCTGCAGAAGTTTAAAATAAAAGTGAGTAGAGTGCAGTTATTTTTGAGTTTAGTTTCTTTTCCCTTGTTCTGTTTCACCGTGGTGACACATGGTCTCATCAGGTCAAAACTTTTTATTTTGTGAGAACTTTGCAAGGTGCTATTTTACAGAACTTCCTGAGGTGAACTTTAGCCAAAACTGTCTTAATCTAAAGGAATAAATGACCACCTAACTCAATGCACAGTGTTTAAAATTCAGCCACTTCTGTGAATTTTATAGCTGGTGAGGCCAAGTTACTTTCATAATCTGCCTGCTACATAAGGACTTTATGACTCAGACTGGGGGAGGTTCATAAATACTTTGCCCTTGATTATCTAAAAAGACACTATGTTATGCAGGTGTTTAATAGATGTCTCCTCCCACTACCTTTTTTTCTTCTACAATCAGCATCTTATGTTAATTGCAAAATAGTGCACTTACTGTGGATTAAACTTGAATAAAAGGGATTGCATATTTCTGCTCAGGCACTAAAGGCTGTTAAAACTGACCTGCACTAAATTCAAGCTTGAAAAATTTGGACCACCAGAAGTACAAATTGTATGGCAATTAATTTTTGGACTTCTCCAAGTCCTCAATAAGGGCTCAGGCCCTTTGCCTTTCTTCAGTGGACAGTGAGCAGCTTTTGGAGTGTGCTGATATGTGTAACATCTTAATCTTGGAATAAACAGCTCTATATTAGCTATATAGTTATTCTGCACTTGGTGCTCCTTTTTTATAATAGTTCCCTTGCCAGCTGTATGTCCTCACAGCTGTTGATCCCTCTTTCAAAATCCAGGTCATGTTTTCTCTGGATCTCTCAAACACATCACCTCCTTCCAAACTTTCTCAGCCTTCCAGGATGCTTTCCAGTCCCCCACATTTCACACAATTTTTTCCTTTAGAAAGAGAATATTTTATCTCAAGGTTAGTTTTCAGCTCAGCTCAGTTTCCGTTGACTTCGGCAGAGATTGAATTAGGCATTTCAATTCAGTGTTCAAGATAGTGTCATTATGCATGTGCTTATAAACTGACTCAAAGCCCATTTATACCACCTTGGCATATGCCTATGGGTCATGTTTTGCGTTTACGCTTGATTACCCTCAGTGTGTTTGTACACAATGTTAACAGATAACAGTTTGTATACTATGTAGCTGCGACAGGCCAGGATGCAGCATTCAGCTTTTCCTTTCACTCAGAACAGAAGCTCAGGTTGGGAGGATAAGCTGCAGTGCTGTAAACTTTAAGGAGTCAAGAGAGATTATTCATCGCCAGTAGAAATGCCACTGCTAAAACCCACCTGGGCTTCCAGTCTCCAGATGTATTTTGGACAGAGGGGAGACCTTCTGCATTTTTTAAAATGACAGTGTTCTTAAAAACTATACTGAAATTATAAAGGAAATGAAATCTGTAGAAAAGCAAGGAGAAAATAATATGGATGGCTGAGCAAGCCATTCAAAGCCCTGGACTGTGGAGTCCTCACTCTATACTCAACATAGACATAGCATTACATGTTGTCCTCATTTGTGCCTTTTATAGTAGATTCAGAAATGGCATGGAAGTCCCATGCTATTTCAATAGCATGGGACTAACAATTTCAACCTGTGATTGAAATTGTTGCTATATTAACCTTGGAAAGGAGCTTATGTAGTTTTGCATGCAGTGCATAAATTACACACATCAGGAAGAAAGATTACCTGGTTTTTATTAGTTCCAGAGTATAATAAAAAGATATACTGTACAACTCACAGAGTTCACATGAAAAATTTCTTCCTCATTAGGCACACTGGTTTTAAAAGTAGATGTCGAACAATAATTAGACATCTGGGAAAATAATCAGCAAATACTTCTTGGTACCTAGACCAAGACTTATATACCCCAAGACTCTTTCTAAATATATGTGTGTATTACAGCACAGGTAAGGGAATGAGAGCATAGGGAGGTTTATGGACTGAGGGCTGAAATATTGAGAGGCTCCTATCCTACTGTCAGAAAGGTGTGCTTTAGGGAGTTGTGGTTTCAGCAGGGCAGCTCTAATGGCCAAAAGATAGACCATACTGAACTAAAAAAAAAAAAAAAAAAAAAAAAGGTGACCAATTACAAGAACAATATTGTTTGTAAATGCTAGCTGGACAGCTGCTTGGTCATACGCTCTGTTAGCACTGCTCAGCCAGTCACTGGCTTTTTCTGTGCAGCAGCAGTGATGAGATGAGAAAACTTACAGCAGCCAGAAACTCTTGTAGGAAAATGGAAATCATATTACTTTACCAAGAGTGCTGGGCTGAGAATACTGGAACTGAAATTATTACCTTTGCGAAAGGCACCATCTATTTTGCGTATAATTATACAAATATAGTACATGCCAAGCCTGCAAAGGTGATAGCTACATGATATGCTGCAGAGCTGTGGACCAAACAAGTGCAGCCAGTGCTCTGGAGCACCACGCCTGCTCTCTATTACACTTTCTTGTCTGGGAAAAGCATCCCTTGGCTGCTGACTTTGTAAAGTTGGCCTGACAAGTGTATTCTCTTCCTGCAGAACCAGAATTCTTCCTGCTTCTCCTTTCTTCCTGGTTTTCCACGTCAAATAGACCCACATTTGCGTAAGACAGCAACTTGCATACAGTACATTTATTTACAGGACAGTGATAGATATTTCATTAATCACAATTACTGAGTAACTGCAAGATTAGATAGAGGAGGTCCTTGTACTTGAAAAGGGAAATTCCTCTCTCCTGCCTGAAAAAGGCTTTGAGGTACTGAACAGGTGTTTGAATTTGTTTTAAGCAGAAGGTAATAGCTATCTCGTGTTTGTAAAACTTTCATGGCTTGCTTTGTTTTATTTCAGATAGCTGGCCTCCTTGTGAACAGGGACAAACCAGGGGAACCATCCACACAGTGTCATCTAATTTAGAGATCTAATTGCCCCATTAGCAATTAGACATTGGCCTTTGAAAGCTTTTGACTTGCACCTGTCAGAGGTCTAAAGTAGACGTAATCAACAGTCTACCTGGTGAGGGTAAGTGGAAGTATAAGGGGGACAGAAAACCAAAAATAATCTCTGAAGTATTTGGCAAAAACTTTTTCTGAAAGAGCCATCTACTTAAATATGTGCTAGGGGTCTAGCAAGGGGGGTTACTATTTTTCGTCTGAGGAGAGCAATGGAAGTAGCTAGTAGTCTTACTCCTTCTGTAGCATAATTATCTAATTATCTCCCAAATTCATACCAGTGATGTTAGAGACCATATCTATCCCACCTCTGTGCCAAGAGATACGCTGTCTCCAGCTCCGTGTCTCTCTAGGTTGCCTGAACAGTGATGGCACGTGGGCAGGTCAAGAAATAACCAAACAGGACAATTCCACTGAGTGTTACAAAGTCATTAAGCCTTAGTCCACTATCTGTTGCAACTTACTGGGAGAGTACTTTACGTTCATTTCTGTTTTCAGTGCTCTGTTGGGGAACTAGAAGTCATTTGAATCCCTGAGAGGATACCTAAAATCTCAGCCTGAAAGTTCAATCTGACTCAAATTCCAGTAATAATTGGTTTCTGCTGTAGGGAAGTTGATTAGGGGAAAGTTTGGTTAGGGCAAAAATGTAACGTAGGTATTGGTTTCAGTTTGAAGGGCAAATGGAGATTTGCAAATACTCTGCAGAGCTAGAAGGAATGGGGGCAGAAAATTGCCCATGATCTTGCATACCCACTTTCGGTATCAAAACTGAAGAGCATAGATAGGATTTCACCTCACCCTCAACCTCAACCTGTGAATTAGCTGGAGCTCTATCAGATAAGAAATCTTCATGATGCAAACATAGCTGTTAGCTTTCATTTTAAGATAACACTTACTGTTATTTAAAAATATTATCTACAGTAACATTGATCTTCCATGGAAACTGATTTCACACAGGAACCATGTTTTCACTCCAGATGCATGCATATTCTGAAACGTTGTTCAGCCCCT